TAAATTCTGTTATCATTTACTCCCCCACATGTTGTTCCAAACCTGTAGGACTTTCTATTCTTCTATAGAAAACAAAAGGAGATGTTTTGCGAGCTGTTTTTTCCACACAATGAAAGCTGATAGTGACCTGCTGTCAAGCTCCAAAAAGGCAAAACATATACCACCATAAATGGGATCATAAAACTTGGGCACTTTATTCCAAGTCTTCTGTTTGTGGAATAGAAGACGTGACGTGAGCATAACTACTAACAAGAATGTGGAACCTACACTGTAAAAAAAATTCCATAAAATTTACGGTAAAAAAAATGGCAGCCGTGGTTGCCGGAATTTTACCGTAAAAAATACGGTAGCAACGTTTTAGGTTTTACAGTTTTAACTTAAATGTACAGTTAAATACCGTAATTTCATTAACTGATATAATGTTAATATACCAACCCATTGAAGTACTGAAATCTGTTTTGCACCTTTGTAATACACTGATTTTTACAGTCTTTTACCGTTAAATTCACAGTCATTTTTTTTACTGTCCTTGGCAAAGTAAACTGATGTTGAATAGATAGAATGTGCGCACCTGTGGATCAGGCAAACCTCTCTTAACCCCAGATATCACTCCATCAGTGACAGCACAGATCCAAATAACCCCCATTAACTGCAGACACTATAGTGTTAGAAAAGGTAAGTTACATACAGTGGTCTCAGAAAAGAAGACACAGTTAAAATATCTGAATCTCGTTGCATTAGATACAGAATATCAAACCAAATGGCATCTGCAAGCAAATGTTGCTGGAGCTTTAGTTCTCAGAACTAAATTTAGTTTTCTTTATCAGTTTTGCTCAGTGACTTTTAATGAACTGTTCTGAACATAGTTTTAATAGATGTATGAAGTCAGGTATCCTCATGTTCACATATGAATATTAACTCATATGAACTATGAATAATGTCCACTAATGTTTGACAACTACAAAATGTCACAAACAAGCAAACATTTGGGTTACAATGAGGCATATACAATGGAAGTAACCCGGAAACGATAGTTGGATGTACAATGGAAATATGGGACAATTTAGGGGAGAACGGGATAGAGATAGTGAAAGAATATATGGTTTTGTTTTGAATACGTTGTTTTGAGAATGAATAAGGTAGAATGATGTATAAATAAATGTGGAAGTGGAATGTTATTTCTTTCTTCAGAGAGAAGGAGAGAGATTGTGGACAAGAGGGTGGAGCAGGGAAGAGAGTGGGGGCAGAGAGAGATCTGGATTCTGGCTGAGTCAACATCAAAGCTGTATGATTCTCTTTTTTCCCTCTTTGGTCATATATGATTTCCTTCAGTGGCCTCAAAGCGCACTTATAAGTCTTAAGGCTCAGTGTGTGGAGCCCCTTAATAATACTGACCTGGATTTTCTAATTTTTTGTTCTAATTACAGCTCAAGTTCACTCTCTGAGATTTAAAATATACAAAAATAGAGAGACTTTCCAATTTTCAACTACATGAAATTTGATGCTTAAAATGAGTTTAAGTATCATTTTCAGATTTTATTAAAAGGACAGTTGACCCAACAGTGAACATTTTGCCATCATTTACTCAGCCTCATGTGGAGGTGTCAAGCTACAAAAAGGACCATCAAACCACCATAAAAATATCCTTATATGATTTATGCGCTGAATTCCAAGTGTTCTAAAGTTGATATCTGATTCACTGATAATATATAATATGATAAATTATATTTTGTGAATAGGGAAAGATTTTCAGTGGCTAGGTTACTCAAAAGTAAAAATATTTTGTCATCATTTACTCACCCTCATGTCATTCTAAACATTTATTTTAGTTCTTCTGTAGAACACATTCTAGACGATATTCCAAAGGATGCTTCTTTTTTCTCTCTCTCCAGTATTATGAATGTCAATGCGACCCAAAAACTTTTAAGCATGTCAATCAAACTCAATCCTCACTGGTTCTCCCAATGACCAAATGTCATGCTTTTGATGTTCATACTGCATTATTTAATGTATTATGTGTATGTGTGTGTTTTGATAAAACATTTTGGCTTGATTTGAAAGGTGTATATTTCTTTTATCTGTTCATCCTACAGAGTGATTGTGTCGCTTCAGAAGAATATATCAGTCAAGCTGTATATATTAATTTCATGTTAGCTTTATGTCATTTTTCGAGCTTGAAAGTTTTGGGCATCATTGCCATAATATGGACAAAAACAGTTAAATCATTCATCTTTTGTCTTTCAAAGGAGAAAAAGTCAGGTTTGGAACAACAAGTTCAATTCCTGTAAATTTCAGTGGGTTCCTTACACAAAGTTATGCGTATAAGATTTGAAATATAGACCACATTAATGGTGCATTCATTATTTTTTAAATGCCCTTGTCACAATATGATTTCATTGTATGGAAAAAGCAGCCTGGACATTATGCAAAGTGTCTCCTTTGTGATTTACTAAAGAAAGGAAGTAATGCAGGTTTTGAACAGCATTAGGGTGAGTAAATAATGACAGAATTTTCATTTAATTTTTAAATGAACTATCCTTTTAAAGGTTATCAGAGATCTTATTAAAAATCTGCTTTATTTTTGCACCTTTTATGCTGTATTCTCAATTTCAAGCCCCTATATTTTGGGGAAAAAGACAAATCTGTTTACATTAATCACCTTCAAGAACTACAGTATGAGCACAGTCATAAATGAATGTTGTTGTTATATGGCCCAGTTTTGAGTAAAAGGCGCATTGAATGATGACAAGAGGACAGCTGGACTGACAGCCCTCCACTGCCCCTCTCTCTCTCTCCCCCTCCCTCCAGCAGCTGTTAGTTGAGGTGATGGAGGAGTGGTGATAACAGTAGAGGTTGTTAACAACCTGCATGCTGACACATTGAAGAAGTTCCTTGTCCTAACAACACACACAACCACCAACAACACCTCCTCCCAGAACAATGTGAAACATTTTTCTGTCTCACGGGAGAGAGGACTCGTTTTTCAAAATCTGGCTCCAGGAAAAACTCTTGACCACTTACTTGCCAGAAAATGATCATTTAAATTATAAAATTAATTTGTGCAATTGTGGCTTTAACATCTGATAAATATTAAATGCGACAATCCATCAGAATGCACTGACTTTCCAAATTCAATATTCAAAATCAGTATTATTAATGCATTAGGCCTATCAAAGAGGACAAACACAGATATCACATAATCAATTATATAATGACCTACAAAAGACTTACAAAAAAGTGCTGTGGTGGTACCATGGTATTTGATGGTATCAGATGGTAATTCATATCATGGTACTTTGATATATATACCATATACACTGTTAAAAATTAACAGTTCTCGATTGGCATCCATGATTGGAAACTTTGTCCATAGAACCTTTCATTCCACAAAATGTTTTTATTAAAAAAGTTCTTAACTTCAAAAATAAATAAATAATAAGAACTGTTCACTGAAAGATTTTTTGAGGAATCAAAAATGGTTCCATGTCATCACTGCAAACCCACCCTTTTGGAACCTTTGTTTAGGGTGCTTTCACACTTGGTTCGATTGCTTGGTCCGAACCCCTGCCCCCACTGGACTGTGTTCACATTATATTATTTGGGTCCGAACCTTTATATTTATGCTTTTGAACCGTTGGTTTTGTTTCCAAAGCTTTAGTACATAATAACGGCACTTACGTCTGCCTTATGCAAATGCTCTAAAGAACTCTGAAGGCGAATAGAAATGAGATATACAGCTCTCTGCTTGCAGCGCGTCAGTCACGCTCGTCAGGAAAGTGAGTGAAACACACACAAACACACATTTTTATCAAATAATACGTCATTAATAGCGGTACACTTCCTTGATTTGGTACGACTGCGTTCACATCAGCAGCGAACCGTACCGGAGTTCACTTGTACCGTACCCCAGACCACCCTTTTTAAGCGGACTCGGGTACGGTTCGTGGGTGCGCACCCGAGTTCGGAAGCCAGCGTTCACATCATCCAAACGAACCGAACTCGGACGTCAATCGAACCCGCGTGCGCACCAAAAGTGCTAGTGTGAAAGCACCTAAGTGCACCATAGTATCCCATATATTCCATACACCATTTGCATTAAACTCGAAATTATAAAAAAAAATACGATGATATTATTAAGGTAGCCTACATGTTCATAAACATGGTATTAACGTGGTAACGTGTCCAAAGCATCATAGCATGGCAGCTTTTTTGTTAATAATCGAACAATAAACAGTGTTGGGGAAAGTTACTTTTAAAAGTAATGCATTACAATATCACGTTACTCCATAAAAAAGTAACTAATTACGTTACTTAGTTACTTTT